GGAGGAGGAGGAGGAGGAGGAGTGTCATGAGTGTCATAGATCCAAGAAGTGAGCGGCGAGCGAGGCTCAACCGTCACCCTCGGCCTCCCAGACAGGAGGAAGGGGCCCGCAGGCGCCAGCACCGACGGTCAGGGGAAAGGCAGATACCTCGTCGCTCAGCGACTCGCTGCCCAACCGAGACGGCGTGGTGCGTAGGGGACAGCCGGTTCACCGCGTCGCCGCGCAGTACTTCCCGACCGTCACCCCTGCCGAAATCAGATGGCATGTGCAATTGGGTTTGTACCCCAGGGTGAGCGGACACAAGGTCCCAAGGGACTTACGGACCACGTGGCCCCGCCTCTCAATCAAATGCACACTCCCCGTGCCTGGTACCCATTTCCAGGTCACGGGCGCAGCTAACGCGCCACTGCCGCGGGCAAAATGCCACGTGGCTGGTGCAACAACGACGAAAACCAGCTTATTTGCCCCCACCCGCCGCATGCAATTGACACTGACAGTGTGCCCCGAGGAGTGTGTGGCGCTGACACCGTGAGAACAGGTGCCAGGCCCCCACCCTCGGGGCAAGGAGGAGGAGAAGGAGGAGGAGGAGGAGGAGGAGGAAGGGGAGGAGGAGGAGGAGGAGGAAGAGGAGGGGAGGAGGAGGAAGAGGAGGGGGAGGAGGAGGAGGAGGAGGAGGAGGAGGAGGAGGAGGAGGAGGAGGAGGAGTGTCATGAGTGTCGTAGATCCAAGAAGTGAGCGGCGAGCGAGGCTCAACCGTCACCCTCGGCCTCCCAGACAGGAGGAAGGGGGAGGGGAGGAGGAGGAGGAGGAGGAGGAGGAGGAGGAGGAGGAGGAGGAGGAGGAGGAGGAGGAGGAGGAGGAGGAGGAGGAGGAGGAGGAGGAGGAGGAGGAGGAGGAGAGGAGGAGGAGGAGGAGGAGGAGGAGGAGGAGGAGGAGGAGGAGGAGGAGGAGGAGGAGGAGGAGGAGAGGGGGCGGTCTCATCGAGGAGCCCTGTTTTCGTTTCTCCTCCGTGATTCGTCCCAGCAGTTTCGGGGCGTCCACAGGAGGGGGGGGAGGGGGCGTCTCGGAGGGGGAATCGCAAATCGTGGCCCGAGGCACGTGCGCGGCTCAGGGGTGTCCGAGGGGCGTGTGGAAACGAGACGAGGCGCCGTGACATCAGGGAAGATGCCGTGGCCCTGGCCATGCCATCCCTCCCCGCCCTTAGTCATCACCCCGCTCTTGGCCGCCCCCGAACTTTTGGAGCTCTTTTTTCTAGCTTCGGGATTCGCTCCAACAGCTGTCGAGGGCGTTCCGGGGTCGGCCAGAGCCCCGACATCTGGACCTCCTGCAGCTGTGAAACAAAACACGATGAATGGAATTTCTGACTACTGCTTTGGGCCCGCGTTGGCAAGCAACGTTTGGCCAGTGAGGCCTTGTCAGAACGGCGGGGACCGCCAGTCACTCGCCGACGACTTATTCGATATGGCTCCTCAGCCTTTCAGTGCTGGGTGGGCTGAGGTTGCAGACAATCCCCCTCATGCCGAGTGCATTTCCCAGCTCGCTCGTGTCCGCGCTCCCTCTAGTCACTGAGTCCCCTGGTCTGGGGCTGGTGAGTGGATACAGCTCTCCAGTCCGATCCAGTGAAGGCTTCATAGTGCGCTGGTGGCAACGAAGCAATCCTATATGCCATCGAGGCCTCGGACGCGAAAGCTGGCTGCGCTGGGCGTGTTTCTGGCCTCCTAATGTTTCCTGTAGATGCGCTTATGTCTCCGAAGGCCTGCTAGAGGGGGTCCGAACAGATGGGGTCGGAGGATTGCACCGCGTCGCCGGCGATGTACCGGGGATGCATCGGCGACGTCGGCGTGGAGCAAATCGGGCTGCACATCGGGCCGCGTCGCGGATGCATCGGCGATGCGGCGCGACCCTCCGACCTCTTCGACTATGACCTCATCTGAAAGGCCTGGGGTCTCACCCCCAGCGGAGCCGGGTGACCTTCCGTGCCGCCGGACTGACTGCACTGACGTCGACGAACACCTCGAAGAGCACATTTTGGGCCGCCAGCGGCCGCGGGCGCTCGCAGCCACAACCGCAACCGAGCAACACATGTTGGGCCGCGGGCGCCCACAACGACAACCGCAGCCGGGCATCACATCCTTGGCAGCGGGCGCCCGCAACCGCAGCCGAAACTGGGCAACACACTCTGGGCCCACGGCGCCCGCAACCTCAACGAACAACACGTCTTGCGCCGCGGGCGCCCGCAGCCGCACCTGCAACCGCAACACATGTTGGGCCGCGGGCGCCCGTGGCCGCACCTGCAACCGCAACACATGTTGGGCCGCGGGCGCCCGTAGGCGCAGTCGCAGCCACAACCGCAGACACAACGGGGCGACTTATTTTGGGCCACGGATGCACCCGACACCATCACAAGAATCGTCATCATCGTCATCATCACCATCATCATCATCATCATCATCATCATCACAATCAGCTTTAGCATCAGCATCATCAGCATCATCAGCATGATCATCATCATCAATCGCCATCCCCAACATCCTCACCAACATCGTCATCGTCGTGGGGCCCCCCATCATCGTCACCATCACCGTCACCACCATACCGTCATATTCGTCCAAGCCTGCACCTGCGACACCACGTCAGCATCATCGCCGTTACCGTCGCCACCATCTTCGCAATCGTCAGAAGGGGCCCCGGATGTGGCCCGCGGTGCTGCACACCGAACCTCCACTCCACGCTGCTGCCTCCGATGTGACACTGTATTCTGTGCCTGTCGCCTGCCTCCAGCTGTGCGCTGCCAAAGACCTTAGGGCGACGCAGTTTCTGCACATCCACTGCTCCCTGGGCAGGCCCATCCCGGAACTGGCAGGGGTGTACACGCCACGCCCTTTTAGGCTTGGCCAGGAGGGCGTGTGCACAGCTCCTGGGCCCAGGACGGGCCTGGCCGGGGGGCAGTGGGTGTGTACAGGTTTCGTCGCCAGAGGACTCAGGGCGGTGATCTGGGTCAACGCCCATCTCGTGGACACCGTGCAGTGATCGCACACTGGCCCAGCTCTCCCACAGGACTTGCGACGATTCAGCAGGCACGGTTGCCAAGGACGCTGCGTTCTGCCCCCGCACCCTCGCTCCCCCCCCCTCGCGCGGCTGTTCGAACAGCACATAGACTGTCCCGCCAGGTTTTGGAGTCTCTCCCAGGCAATCGAATAACTAGCTGTCAAGGCCCTGCGGAGGGGGCTCCGATTGAACAGGGTCGCTGGGTGAAACTCCAACAGGCCCCAAGGGTGCCGTAAACAATCTGGGGCATGAGCGGCGCTGGACTGTGTGCTCCTTTTTGCAGTGTCCAGTATGCCTGAGAGTGGCTTGGAATCAGTTCGAAGCCTTGGCTCGGAAGAACTCAGACGTCCCCCCCTTTGGGGCGCCATTCGGGTGCCCAGGGTCTTGACGGCTTCACACCTAATCTGAGAGCGCTAGGACGAGCGGCTCGCTGCTTCGCATGTTTTTTGATCAAGCACCCGATCCCGCCAGCACATGAGCCGTCACTCTAGAGGCCAGCTCAAGTGCATTACATCCTGCGTTCAGGTTGCGATGCAGAGCAGGGACAAGGGCAGGGACCCAAGCGTGAGCTTGAGAACACTGCTTTCTTGATCTGGCAAACTGACTCATTATTGATGCCGATGCGGCGAACGCCCGGCGGGCCAGACACTTCGCTGACACAGGCACAGGCAATACTCGAACGCAGGCTCGCGTCGTGATAAAACAAGAACCTAGGACGGCTCCAGGATGGGCCGTGGAAAAACGACGCGGGGACCCATACCTCCGAGGTCGTGGTTGACGCCGGTTGCGCACCACGACGACATCATCCCACACTGCACCACCCGAACATGTTCCTTCCCGCTCCCCTCCACATCACGCTGTGCAGCATGGCCTGGAGGCGCTTGCCATCGCTCGGACGTCCATTCCCCGTGCAATTTCCGATTCCGTGCGTGTTTTTTTTGCTCGATGGTCCAGGATGGTCCTCGATGGTTCTCGCCGAGAAAAACGCACACGTCTGAGCGATGCCAGGAGGCGAAGGCGCGCGGCGTCAGCGCCACAGGCAGGACCCGCGCGCACGACTGCGAGGGCCGCCCGGGGCCGCTGCAGCGGAGCAGCTCGCTACTCCGTCTCCTGCACGGGCCTGCTCCTGCGAGGCAACGATCGGGGGGGGACTGGCACTGTTGTTCGTTCGTCAGCTTGTCTTTGGTTGTTCCCCGAACGGAGGCCCTGACGAACGAGCAACACACACCCATACCCATAGGGGAAACGTTGGGAAGAGGACAGGCCATGGGTATGGGTGCGGGTGGTCGGATCCTGGGGGGCGTTTCCTTTCGAGCGGGGACCCCCATCCGACAACACGCACCCCAAGCCCCCTCCGTCCCACCTATGGATATTGGTGCGTGCTGTTCGTTCGTCAGGCCCCGCCGAGGAGGAGGAGGAGGAGGAGGAGGAGGAGGAGGATGAGGAAGAGGAGGAGGAGGAGGAGGCGGAGGAGGGAGGAGGAGGAGGAGAGGAGGGGGAGGGGGAGGAGGAGGAAGAGGAGGGAGGGGAGGAGGAGGGGAGGGGGAGGAGGAGCGAGGAGGAAGAGGAGGAGGAGGGGGAGGAGGAGGAGGAGGAGGAGGAGGAGGAGGAGGAGGAGAGGAGGAGGAGGAGGGGAGGAGGAGGAGGAGGAGGAGGAGGAGGAGGAGGAGGAGGAGGAGAGGAGGAGGAGGAGGAGGAGGAGGGGGAGGACGCTGACAGAACAGCGCCACCGCCGCCCTCTCCCGGGCCAGGCCGGAGGAAGCGGGGGCCGCGGCCCGCGGGGGCTCCCGCCCGGCTCGGGCAGGGCTCGAGTGGTGCGCTCTTCGGGGCACGCACTGACGGCGCACCCTGGAGGGGGCACAATCGTCGCCCCTCCCCCTCCCTCCTCCTCCTCCCTCTCCTCCTCCCCTCCTCCTGCCTCCCCTCCCTCCTCTCCCCTCCTCCTCCTCTCCTCCTCTCCTCCCCCCTCCTCCCCCTCCTCCTCCACCTCCCCCTCCTCCACATCCTCGGGAGCGGCCAAGAGGGGGGTGTGCAAGAGGGGGGGTGCAAATCATGACCGGCGGCGTGTGCGCGGCCCAGCGGGGGGACCAGGGACGCAATGAAGTAAGAAGAGGCGCCGTGACATCTGGGGAAATGTCATGGCCCTCGCCATGATATCCACCCACCCCTAGTCATCACCCCCCTCTTTGCCGCCCCTGATTCCCCCCTGCGGGCCCGCGGAGGCACATCGACCTGGCATCGGCGATGCATCGCCGACGCATCGGCGATAGGCCCCCGACAGCAGATCCCCACCTGCCCGGGCGGGGTGCGGCTACCAGACCCAGACCGGCGATGCGTGGACGATGGGGGGTCGATGCGTTCCCCCCCCTGAGCCTAACTCCCTGTGACACTGCGCCCTAGTTGTAAGTCGGGCTTGTCCCCCTACAGGGGGATTTTCAACGAAAAATAAAAAGTACCCCAACAATGCCCCAAAAAGGTAAAACAATACCCCAAAAATTGTCCCCAGACTATTTTGGGACTATTTTTTGATTATTTCTGTGGTATTTTTGATTTTCGTCGAAAATCCCCCTGTAGGGGGACACGCCCGACGTAAGCGTAACTCCCTGTGACATTGCGCCCTAGTTTCCGAATCACAAGTCGGCTCCCCGGCGGCCGTTGGGAACAATCTGGGCACCCCCGGAACCCTCTCGGCGAGGCACAGCTGCTGGAATGCACCCCGGGGCTGGAAAGCCGCCGGGAACAAACGAAAATGCCCGAGAACCTCGAACCTCGAAAAGTTCCCCGCCTGAGCCTATCGTTGCCCCTGAGCTCCTGAACTTGAAGCACCTCTGCAGGCTGGGGCCTGCTGCAGTAGGCTGGGCGGCACGCTGCGGCGTGAGCAGCATTGGGCTCCCGTCGCCGGGCGATTGGGTGGCCTTGGGCGCAGCCCCCCCCGATCCGATCCCACACTCTCTCGAGCCATGCGAGAATCACGACGGGAAGGCCTTCGCTAGTTTCAGCCTCTGGGGGCCCTTCCTGGGCATCCGGACCGTCATAAACGGCTCAGGAGGAAAAACAGACCCCAGGGAATCTCGGTATCGCTCGGACGTCCATTTCCCGTGCATGTTTCGTTTTCGTGCGTGTTTTTGTTGTGTTCGATGGTCCAGGATGGTCCTCGATGGTGCCCGCCGAAAGAAAAATACACACGTCCGAGCGATGCCAGGGACTGGGTCGAGACCTCTGGGGGTCCACGTCATGAACACATCATGACGCTGGGGGCCTGGCACTGGCCCACAACCTGGCGCCGATCTGGCCCGCCAGATCTCCCTCGAAGCAGGCGGCCGCCGCGCCGAGCGGGGGCGCCTGGTCGGCTGCACCCCGATCCCGATCGATTGGTTATCTGGAGGATCAAGTCGGGCCTGTCCCCCTACAGGGGGATTTCCTACCCCCCACAAATAACCAAAAAATAATGCAAAAAAATATGGGGACTATTTTGGGACTATATTTCGACCTTTTCGGGGTACTTCCTGGGTATTTTTTATTGTTCGTCGAAAACCCCCCTGTAGGGGGACACGCCCGACATAACTGGAGGAACAGAGACCGGCACAGGCATAAACTGTCTGAGGTCCGCGGGAATTTCTTGCATCGGCGCTGGGCCCGCCTCCCCAGCGCGCGGAAGGTGCTGCGTCAGAGGTGCCGCCAGGGGGGCCCCGCGCCGATCCACGAAATCCGCGCGGAGCGCCAGACGTGTATGTTTACAACACTTTCTTTTTCGAATCTCGGCGAAACGGCCGAATTAAGACCGAATATATGACCAAGAGAATGAGAAAGCATAACTCTGGGCCACCTTCCCGGAAGTTTCTCAAGACAGGCAGAGGCCAACTTCTGCTGCCGGAGAAGCTGGCGCGCTCCAGAAGCTGGGCTGGCTCTCCGGCAGGCTGGTGAAAACGCGCAGGTCCGGCCTCTGGGGAGGAGGCTTCTCCACCATAGGCTCGACTGTAGTCTTGGGTCGGGCAGGCCCCCCTACAGGCGGATTTTGGAGGACAAGTACAAGAACTAGTGACAAACAAGTGCTTCCAAAGGGTGCAGCGTCCTCGAGAAAATCGTCCCCAGACTATCTTGTCCACTATTCTTCCATCATTTTTTGTAGAGGGGCGCGCCCGACCTGCCTGCCGTGGGGCCGCCCGAGGCCCCGCGGCCTCGGGCCCGCGGGCGGATCGCTCGGCCCCGCGGCCTCGGGCCTGGCGGATCGGGGCCCCTCTGGGGCGGTGGCGTCCGGGGTGGCCTCGCCGCTGCGCAGGGCCTCCGCCCGGGCGGCCCAGGCGCCGAAGTGCTCCTGCATGGGGTCCACCAGCGTCTCGGCGTCGGCCGCGCTGATCGCGCCCGTCCTCTCGGCCTTCTCCACGAAGTCTATCAGCTTCTTCGTGATGCCCATCTCCAGGTAGCACTCCCGCTCCTCCTCGAGGCACCACATGTCGGGCGCGTCGCCAGGGTGCAGCGCGGCCCACACCATGGCTGCGAATCTGCGTGCTCTGGCGACGGCGATCTTAGACTGAAGCAGGCAAGTTGCAACCTCTGGAATGTCAACGTCGTAATGGATTTGTGCTCCTGCTGTGGAATCCTTTGCGACTGCCTTCCCGAAAAACCTCAACAGCTCCTCCTGTGCAGAGGTGTGGCCTTTGACGAAGGCCTGCAGCATAGCAAAGTTTTTCAAATGCTCCTTCATATGATCAGATATCATCTGCGTCGAATCCTTCCCCGAAAGCGCTGCTTTCAACCTCAGGGTCATTTTGACCAGCCTCAGGAAGCGCAACAATCTGAGCGCTTTCATGAACTTGACAACGCGACCAACCTGGCTTTGCGAAGTCTGAACAGACTCACCAGAAACTAGCTGCGCGCAGTTCAATGCCGCCCCAATCCAGCCAACTATCACCAGCCCAAAATCAAACAAATTCCAAGGGTCGTCGAAGTAGGCCCTCCGAACGGCGAGGAAATTCAGATAGGCCTCAACGGTGAAGCCGACGCAGAAAACGACATCAAGGGCAAACCAACCTTCGCTTGACATCAGTTCTCCCTTGTACTGCTCGGTAACGATCAAAGCAATATTGGCCAACACGAGGGCGTACACTGCTATCTGAAACTGCATCGACGATACCAGGCTATACATCCAGGTGTGCTCAGATGCGATGCGGGACCTCCTCCCTTGAGTTACGGTATCCTCAAGCGCGGCACCTGCCCATGACAGCGACTTTCTCTTCTTCGCTTGTTCCTGTATCTCCTCCAGGGAGTTCACCTGCTGAAGCAATTGTGCGAAATCGCCGATCTCAGGTATACCGTGCTTGTCCACTATGCGATGACTCAGTGCTTGGACAATGGTATCACTGAGCGTCTCGAACTCATCAACCAATATGAATGAATCCTGCAACTGGTGCCAATACTGCTCCCTCACGATGTGAAGTAATGTTATGTTGAGCGCGCACGCTAGGTCTCCATCGAAATCCTTTTCGAACATCTTGCCACGCAACTCTTTCACGCGGTCCTCCAGGCAACTCATGGGCAAAACCTTCTCGATGCGAGTTCGAGCAGTCCGAGCAGAGGGGGTCTTTTCACAGAGCTTATCAAACTTCTGTCTCTGCTCATCCAGATCATTCAACAAAGTGTCCACATGAGAACACCCAAAGATATTGCCATTAGATCGTCCAAACGATGGCGCTTTCGCATCACTATCGTCCAAACGTAGCTTCAGTTTCCCCGAAGTAACGGTCATGCGCGGAAGTGTGGATCGCGGCTGCACGTGAAGCAATACATCTTGCAGCATGTCGTATAGTGATTCTTGCACTTCTGCAGTGAGCGGATCCCCATGGGAGACGATGTTCTGCAGTCGCTTGTGGAGGCATGACATGATTTGCCGCCGTGTGACGGGGGTTGTGGAGAGCTTGAGCTTGCGGACAAGCATCGGGCTGGTGGGAGCGTTGACCACAATGGTCAGTAAGGCGACGCCCCCAACGTAGAAGAGCACGCGATCGGCATCTTCCGAGCTGACGGACGGCACCCCATCGGAGTTGGTGGCCCTGTCGTGATGCACGTGGACCGCCAACGCCAAGCCGACGGCGCCCCGGAGACCTGCATGGCTGATGAGAACCGCCTGCTGCCACGTGACAGGCTTGTCTCCTCCAATGCTGAGTATTCTCAGAAGCGGGCGTGACACAAACACAACTCCCAGCCGGACCAATGAGAGAAACAAGTAGATGAGCAAGAGGTCCACGTAGTCCCTGGTGACAATTGAATCGGAGAGCATTGCGTTGCCAACCAAAGCGCCAGCGAGGAAGAACACTACGCTGTTGCCAAGGTATCCGAACATTTCCCATACCATGTGTAAGCTGTGCTTGTCTACAATCTGAGGCCACATGAAGCGGGCAAGAAAAAGCGATGATGCAACAGTTGCTAGCACCCCGTTCACGTGAAGTATACCCTCCGCGATGCCGAAGCTGCTGTATGCACATAGAATGGTCAGTGCAACTTGAAGCATGCCAGCACTATGATCGAACTTGTTCTTGACAAGACGAATCCAAACATAGTACACCGCGCCAACGGACATACCAAACATCCACGCGAACAGTGTGTTAGTCAGCATGAACATGCTCACGTCGCCGAAATCCCACGACTCACCTGCGAGGGCGCCCCACTTCGCGCTTCGCGCTGCGCGAATCATCTCGCGCTCTCGCGCCGCCCCCCCGGGGGGAGAAGAGGATGAGGAGGCATCGGAGCCGAAGAGCGAGGCGCGAACAACTTCGCGCGCTCGAGGGCGCCCGTGCGCCTGCGAGCATCTGGTACGCAACCGTAAAGAGAACCATCGCCGAGCCGTCGTTCAGGAGAGACTCGCCCTGAATCTGCATCGTCAGGGTCGGCGAGGCACCGAGCTCCTCCGGAGGGGGGCCCGGGGGCACAGGCGCAGCAGCAGACGCGAGTCCCAGGAGCCCCCCCCAGGTGTTCTCACAGTCTCTCGACGCTTGTTTGTCTTTCCCTCCACTTCACACGTTTTTTCCGGTATTTTCCTGGGGGTCGACGGCTAGCTGTGTCTGCATGCTTTTTACCCTCCTGATCCTTGAGAAGGGAGACCACTGCAACGGGGTCCGTGGCGCAGAGAATGCCACCGACGGAGAGGCACAGCCTGAAGTCCCAGCCGTACGGGAGGTAGCCCTGCAAGAACCCCGCGGTGATGAACGCCGAGAGGATCATTCCTGGCCCTGCCATGTACACGCATTGCTTAGCCACGCTTTCGGCGACGTGCATATCTATCATCATGGCCTCCTCCGCGAGCAGCGGTGGCAGCATCGTGAAGAGTAGCAGGTGCGGGTCGATCACCATCCACATGGTGTACGAGTGTCCTGCGCCGCCCAGGCTGTCAGAACGGGTTCACTCGACCCCTCCCGGGGTCCATCCTGGCCGGCTTCCCGCGCCGCGTCGAGCCATCACGACGAGAACCTCCAGAAACAACTCAAAAACTCTGAATCAGCATCGTCGCCGCCGTTGTCTGAAGGTCTCGGGAGGCATCTGGAGGTCCCTGGAGGCCCCCAGAGGTCTCTAGAGGCTCCGGAGGCAAAACAAGAGCACGCGCTCTCAAAAGCCTCGGCCCTCGGTCCCCGACGTCGACGTTGACGTCGTCAACGACGGCGTCGCCGTTGCGGTGGCCGCCGTCGCAACCGACGCCGTCGTGGGCTCCTACGCCACCCAGGCTGTCTGCCGCCTGCCGCATGATGAGGGAGAAGAGCCAGCCAAGGATGAAGAGGCCGACCTCGCAGGCGGCGCGCAAAGAAGGATGATGAGGAGGAGGACCAATGCAAACCCAAGACTCATCAACGGTCTTGAAATAAACCCTCCCTCCAAATTCCTTCTTCGACTGCTGAAATGCCCCGTTGGAACACAACCGTCAGAAACATCTTGCACCGTGCCAAAACACCACATTCATGTGCCTTCGGCGCCGCGAATCAGCGTTACCGTTGCGTCCTGACGACCCTGAACCGTGTCCGAAAGAGGAGGAGGAGGAGGAGGAGGAGGAGGAGGAGGAGGAGGAGGAACGAGGAGGAGGAGGAGGAGGACGAGGAGGAGGGGAGGAGGAGGAGGGAGACAGGGGGGAGGAGGAGGAGGAGGAGGAGGAGAGAGGAGGAGGAGGAGGAGGAGGAGGAGGAGGGAGGAGGAGGAGGAGGAGGAGGAGGAAAGAGGAGGAAAGAGGAGGAGGAGGAGGAGGAGGAGGAGGAGGAGGAGGAGCAGGAGGAGCAGGAGGAAGAGGGGAGGAGGCGGAGGCCGACGACGAGGGAGACCGCCGCGAGAGACTTCCCGACACGGTCGAGGAGGGCGCGCGGGGTCCCCCGGAGGCAGATGCCGCCAGCCCTCCCGGCGTCCAGGCGGCCCCGCGCGCCCCCCCCCCCCGGCGCCGCCCAGCGGCCCCCGGGGGCTCCCGCACTCCTTGTCCCCTCCTGCTCCTGCCGATGCTCCGCCTTCTCCTCCCCCCGCGCCCCCTGCCCTCTCCTTCGGCCCCGCATCCGCCCCCGCGCCCTCGCGCAGCTCCTCCTGCTCCCACTCCCTGGGTGGCCCAAGATCGGGTCCAGCTCGAAGGGGGTGGTGCAAGAGATTTGGGGCAGTTGTGTTGCAAACGTATTGCGCGGGAGGAATGTATTTCCAGCAATGTGTTGCAGGCGAGAAACCAGCAATACATTTGCACCCTAAAATGTATTGCGCGCCCCAAATGTATTGCAACCCCACGAAACTATTGCACTAAATCTTGCACCACCCCCTTGTCGCTGGACTTCCTTTTTGGTCAACCCGACACTCGTGCTGCTTCGGGGACGGGCTCGCCCTCCCCCCGACCCACCTCCCGGGGTCCGGACGGGGGGCCCCCCGAGGGGCACAGAGCGTCCGAGATGGCCCGAGACGGCTCAAAGATGGCCCCAAATGGCTTGAAATGGCCTCCGAAATCGCACAAGATAGCCCAAGATGGCTCAATTGTTCCCAAATTGCCGCCAACAGACCCCAAGACCGCTTTCAGGCAGTTCCACGTGGCCACAGAGCCTTCCGATTGCGCCCTGGCAGCGCCAACATCCTTCCAGGACCTCGGGCAAATCAGTGATTTGTGGCTTCTCGTCCTATCGTCGCAAAGCCCTAATAACAGTGCGGTGGCGGTAGAAGAAGGGCAGGGGAAGACGGTGATGCCTTTTTTACGGGCGGCGGTCCTGGGAGTCGCGTGCGTTGCGCGGGCCCCCGGCTACTCCCGGGAACTTGATGCCCCAAGGTGGTGGGTGGGTTATTCAAATCGGCCGAGCGCCTGAGCCCAACTTGCAACATACGTCGGGCAGAGAAAGAACTCGCTTTCGTGTTGGCACACGGGGGCGCAGCCTCGCACAGCCCTCATAGCGGTGCGGTGGCTCTGAGAGGATGGGCAGGGGATGACGGTGATGCCTCATTTGCAGGTGGCAATCCTTGGAGCCCTGCCCGCTGCGCGAGGCCCCTGCCACTGCCAGAGACTCGGGAGGAGGAGGGGGATGATGCTGCCGCTGCTGCTGCTGCTGCTGCTGCTGCTGCTGCTGAGGAGGAGGAGGAGGAGGAGGAGGAGGAGGAGGAGGAGGAGGAGGAGGAGGAGGAGGAGGAGGAGGGGGAGGAGGAGGAGGAGGAGGAGGAGGAGGAGGAGGAGGAGGAGGAGGAGGAGGAGGAGGAGGAGGAGCAGCAGTGGCCAGAGGGGGGCGAATCCATCAGGAAGCCGAACAGCCGCAGGCCGCGGCGGGGCTCCTTAGTTGAACTCGCTCTGCGGGTTGCGGAGCTCTGCGACGTGGTCGCTCGGTCGCTGCGGGCCGAACGACTCCGCGGGCAGGAACGACGAGGTCAGGTCGACCATCAGGTAGTCTGCATTGCTCGGGTCCCCGACGATTCCCACCATCTACTACGATACTACTCCCTGCTGGCCCCACGACTCCTGACGACGACATGCTCGGACGACTTGCTGCCGAACCTACGTCATTACCTGCCGTCGCCGACGGCCACGATTACAACCTTCACGCACCAGCGCGCGCTCGTGCCGCTCAGCTACCCCCACATGGTCATGAAGCCTCTGTGGATGTGCCGTCTGGGCCTCGTGCAGACCACTGCGACTCTATGATTGTTGACGGCGTCTTCGTCGACACCCCGATGAGGAGGAGGAGGAGGAAGAGGAGGAGGAGGAGGAGGAGTATTTAGTACTCCTCGGGCCGCCCGTCGCCGCGCACCACACCGAGGCCTGAGGCGTGACTCAGGGGAGGCGAAGGAAAAAGGAGAGGGAGGGCGGCCTCACTCGGACGCAGCAGCCCTGGGGTCTCCAACGGGAGCCACCCCCAGGGAATACACGCCTCGAAAGTGTCCATGACTGGGGTCTCCTCTTAGCCACCCCCAATGGTATCACCACGAAGCCCTCCACCAGGGCTGCCAGAGCAGCTGCCAGGAACACGCCGGGGCGGCACCTGGAAAACACCTCGATAATCACGATGACTGAGGTCTCAAACGGAGCCACCCCCAGTAGTACACGTCGTCGAGGCCGTAGTTGGAGGCTGACACGAAACGATATCGTAGCTCCCAGGCTCCCAGCTGAGCAGGTGGAAGAAGTGACCGTTCATGCTGGTGCCCTTCGCGTCGCAGTAATTCCCCCTTTCGGTAAAATACCACGCGCCAGTTCGCCCAAATTCTGGTGGCCATAATGGCCGAGATGCCCACAGCACTCAGCCGCCAAACCACGAAGGAAATGCTTGCCGACACAGCCGCACCGTAAACACGCGTGGATCTTCATGTCACTGAAGTACCCAAGCAGGTGCGGCTCGTGGATGGGAACACCCTGCGCCATGATGCCCATGTCGCCGATCCGCTGGATGCTACCCTTGACCACTCCGCCCAAGCAAGGCGTCTCCAATAATATCTCTGGCTTCCTCCCGCTGGCGCTGCAACCACAAGCAGAGCAGTGGAATGCCGTACCCATGCCATTGTATACCTGGTGTTCCGACATCATCACCTTCCGACAGAACTTCTTGGCCATCGAACGTGTTGGTCGAAGACGCCTTGGCTTCGCCTCTGCCGCTGCCAGGAAAGCCTTCGCCAAATGCTTCCTCGCTGCTCGACCAATCGCTTCGGCATGTTCGACTGCCGCAACGACATCACTCGATACTGCGCACTTCCGAGCCCAGAACCCCGCGGCTTCATCCGCGAGAGCATTGGCCAGGTAGTGCTCGATGTTGGTGTTGGTCAGCTTGGCTTGCTCGACGGTCATGTGGCTCTCGATCTTGACAACTTGGAGGTTATGTGGGGACCGTACCAATGCCTGCTTCACCTGCAACCAAAGGTCCAGGTTGGTGGTAGGCAGCCGTCCTGAGGAGATCTTTGTGATCCCCTTGAGTACATGCCCCGAGTCCGTCACGAAGGTCATGGGCATGCCCAACTCAAGCAAGTCCTCCAATGCACGGAGAAGCGCCGTAGTCTCACCCCTGTTGATGGTCTGCTTCTTGGGGATCCCACCTCCCCTCGAGTAAAGTAGCTTCACATCGAGCTCGGGATCGCTCGTGACCTGGATCACCTGGTATGACCACCCAATCCTGCGCAATCTCGGGCCCGCTGAATGTTCTCCTCCCGAAGCGTCTCCACCGACCAGCAAATGCTCACGCACTCGAAAATCATTCGCATGACCCATGGTTTCATCGAAAAGTGAATCAGTAGGGCCCTCAACACTCGTCCAGGTAGCTGGCAATCTTCCTCTTAACCACAGGCACGGCAGGTTCTCGACGTCCTCCTGGGCTCTGCGAGTCAAGTTCTGCGATCTACTCGAGAAGTGCACATTGCACGGACACTGCCAGTTACGATGTAGGTCCGTCTCTTCTTGTCCACAATCGCATCTCTGACATGCGGTGGTGTCCAACATGCAGCTACTCAAAGTTGAGATCCGATACCGCGTCCAGGACGCTCCCGTCATCACTGCTTCCATCGCGCCTGCCATCTCGTGCTCACCTTTCATGCGGAGGGAGCTGAGGCGCCTCCGAGCGTCGCGAAGATCTGCACCTTCGTCCACACCGTTGCCATTCCAGTGCCTGGAGGCCCTGGCCCATAGCATCCTGTCGATGGAGTCGGAGATGGCTTCCTTGAGCTCGCTCATGTCCTGCTGGCCTTGCCCAATGGTACTGTCGGGTGCCATGAATCTTTCGCCGGTATCTGAAATCCACGCCCAAGGTCCGACTGGGCCCCATCCAATGTCCAATACAGTCGCAATCGTAGCCGAGGCCGCTCCAGTGATACCCCTCCACCTATCCTTCTGCGCCCGCATCTCAATCCGCCTGCGCGCTGACCTCCAGGTGCGTCGGGCAAGCTCCAGGTCCAGCCCAGGTTGGGAAATAACTGCCATCCAGGATTCAATCAACCTGCGCACGATCTGGCACTGCGGGTCCTTCCTGCCAACTCGGAGCTGCAGCAGCGTGGCAAGGCACAGCCCTGGCCACTTCTTCGCCAGAGTCTGCCCCGATGACTTCCTCCAACCGTCGATGACGGTTGGCGCTGCTCCAAACACTTTGCCCGAGTAATCCGCCATAGGTAAAACACCCATCATCGACAATTTCCCACCAATCTTCTTGCGCACAGCCCCTTGTGCAAAGCGCTTGACACGATTGAAGCGAGCGGCTGCACCACGTCGGCGCTGTGCTTGCTTGGGCCGCAGACAGCCAGCGGCGCCTCTGTCGATGCCGAAGTCCGTCGCCACACTGGCAATTTTGACCGCGAAGCCCTCCTTCTCGAACCCCTTTTGTAGTGCTTTGCCGAGGTCCACTTGATTGGTGACGATAGTGGACTTGGGTGAGATGACCAAACCTGCTTCCGTGCAACCCTTCGCAAAAGTACGGCCAGCTTGCAAGGCTAGCCCTAATGCGCGCTTGTACCGTCCTTCCACTCGCTGAGAAACATCATCCACCCAAGACCTAGTCGCAACTGCTGGGGTGCCTTGTGCCACTCTATCCAAAATGTTGTACAGTGCACATCTCGAAAAGCCCGCTGCTCCTCCCAGTCCTGCAATCATACTCTTCTCTGGCATGATAGCGTCCGGGTAGCAGCCGTTGCCCCGAAGGAAACGTACACCCATATGCAAAATCATCTCCAGTGCGAGGATACTGGGAAGGAACCCGTGCTCGGGTCCCGATTCGAGAAGTAGCTTCCACTTGAGCGCATCGTGGAACCCTTCAGTGTCCCACATCATGCTTGCCTGAACCCAGCCTTGAATCGTGGAGAGAGCCGCCGTCTCGTCCAAGTAACTGCGTAGTAAAGCTTCGCGCAGAGCCGATGACCCCGCCACTGCTGCATCCCAGTGTCCAGCCCTAGTCTTAGTCCAGGTGGCTCGGTACTCACCTCGGCAACTGGACCACAACCTCGCCAGGCTGGATAAGACTCCAATGGCTCTGTCGTCCCCCGACGGCTTCCTCGTGAGAGTCACCAAAACAACAGTCAATTGCCAGGGCCATGCGACCTCCTGCTCGATCTGCTGGAATAAGTAGACCAACTCTTGCTTGCCCGACTCAGGTAGCCAAACAAGATCCTTCTTCCCAAGTTGTTCGATGCCTTTCGCCGATGACCCCTTCATCTTCCTGGTGCCATCCTCTAGCGTGTCCATGTCGAAGACAGGGAAGGGGTTTGCCTCGGCGTTGTCCGTGGCCGTAGAGAGTAGCTGCTCGATCCGCCCGATCTCCAAGGACTCGTCACTCCACTTCTCCCGCCATACCGACGCCCGGATGTCCATGGCCGTAAGTGGGTAAAAAGAAATGTTCTGGCCCCATTTCGAACTCGTCCTTTGCTGATGGAACGTCCTTAACAAGGCGGAACAGCTTCCCAGGTGCCGAGATGTACTGCCTCTCTGCCCATTGAGAGAATGCCGAGCACTGAGAGTAGCACTCCATCCTTTGCATACTGCCGGCCAGCTTCGCGCACTCCTCTTTGCACCTGCGGATGGTGTCCGGTGTCGCCGAGCTCAACATGCGTAGCTTCCTGCACCAGGCGAGTTTTTCTTTCCGTGGGAGTCGCCAGCGTCGAATTGGGCACGCAGCCTGTCGCTTCACGAAGACGAGTAGTGAGCTTCCCAAACCTCGGAGGCTCCGTCTTCGCACAGGCCCTGTCCAACTCCTCCAGCAAGAAGGCGATCTTTGCCCACCAATCCACTCCAGCGTCCCTCGTGCGAGTGAAGGGCGGCGATGGCACCACCTTGCTGACGTTGACTTTCCTCGCCAGTGATCGGCCTCTATGTGCGAGCCCATCCTTGTCAAATCCTTCCCCATCCAATAACGAGCTGAAGTAATCCTCCACCTTGCTGATCCAATGGCCAAAGGTATGACCAAGAGACTTGCAACTGTCCGAGGTAAGCTGCCAAGCGTAAGAGGCTTCAACGTAGTGTGGAGGTTTCGACCATCTACCATCCGCGTTGACAACAAGAGATCGCCAGAGGTCTTCACGTTGTCACGTGGCCACTTTTCTCCTAGTGTCTCATGAACAGGTGGAACGAGATCGCCTCCATGTTCTTCCTCCCTCAGCAAGTCGCCCTCGTCATCCTCGTCATTCTCTTCTGACTCCGTAGCCTCGCCCAAGTCCAAAGGGCCAAGATATTGAAAAAGGTGGCGGCCCATTGATCCCCATCCTCCTACGCGTGCCCGAAGCTGGTACTTTGGGACTCTTCGTCGTCGGAGTAGCTGCCACAAACAGCTGCCGCGAACGCTTGCTGCGCGGGTCCGACTTCATCTTTGGCTGGGTAGGTGGCCCATGAGCCGAAGGTAGTCGTAGCGTGCGACCTTCCGCCTCCCTGGCTTCTAAAAGTAAATCAAGCACAATGCCGTAATGCGCCTTGCCCCCTTCGCCCGCCATCTCGGTATCAGCATGCGCTCGATCGAGATTCTCCAGAGCAGGCCCTGGCGCTACTACGTAATCGATCAACGTGCCCTGCCCACCTGTGCACGTGTACTCCACGTTGTCTGGTGCCAAGATGTTGCCCTGCACCAGGTTGAGCCAACCTGCCTTGCGCAGCGTCTCAGGAGGGAAATTCCAGTCACGCAAGATAACCCAGGGTGTGGAAAGAGATGTTACCAGTGATGCTAAGTGCCGCAGCTTCTCCACATTAGCCCCGGTGACCCCCAGTCCATTGTAAAGATAGCCACCCACGATGGTGATGTGGGCGCCCTTCAAGAGGACCTGCATACCGACCATGTCCTTGAACCTGACGCCCGTGATCTGGTTCTGCTCTGCTGTGCTCTTCTTCTTGTCCTCTCTTTTCCCGGGCAAATCCTCCTTGTTGGACGCAGGGTGTCTTAGTGACCAGGAGGCCCACTTCTTCGACACCCCCATGGCCACGCCCCCAGCTTTCGCAGAAAACCAGCTGGATTCCGCACCCGCTGGGCACACCATGCTTTTGTAGCCAGCCTTGTCGAACTCGACCAGCGCGTCGTTCGTCTCCGTCTTCTCCATGTGCGTCTCCTGAATGATGGCCGCATCGTAAAGCCTCTTGAGGAGCAGCTTCGCCGATGGACCCCAAGTAGACATGTTGCGCATGTAGATGTGGAACTTGATGCCTTCCTTCTTTTCTTGACACTCATTATGCGCAACCTGTTCCTGCACCGACATGTCGTGGAAGCCTTGACCAATACGGTGCCTCACCAGCCCCAATACCAGTGCAATCCTGTCTTGGGCTTCATCGTAGTCACCATCAGGTAGAAGCCGATCAGGAGGTACCCTGTTGCCAAGCAACCTCCGAAAATGGCGTCGGATCTCACGCAGCTCATCGAAATGCCACCTGACAAAGCGACGGTGCTGCTCCACGTCCCTGATGCTGTTGAGCGCCTCGATGAGGGCCCGACGCGGCTCTGCCCAATGCCAGACTTCCGTGCACATGATCTCTGCGATCTCTGGCAACGTACGTCCATATAGCCTTTCCAAGTACATTCGGAAATCCCTACTCGTTGGTCTGGAGAGGGATCCAATGAAGTCGGGGACACACCATTCACGCCAATGTTCTAAGCTATTGAAACGTTCTCCTCTGCTGTTGTGTATCCACCTTGCTGCTGTGGTCGTCATCTCATCTCGCAGCCTCTGGCGCTCCCTGGTCTGGCTGGGGGTCTCCGTGGGAAAGGTGCATGCGCGGGCCACCTACCCATGCGCTGATCTCTTTCCAGCAACACGACTGGGCGCTTGCTCGACGCTCTGTTGACCCAATCCTCCTGTGGGCTGGGTGTCCTGCGAGCAAGACGCCTGTCTCGACGAGAGTGCCGCTGATCTCCTTCCAGCAAAACGACTGGGCGCTTGCTCGACGCTCTGTTGACCCAATCCTCCTGTGGACTGGGTGCCCTGCGAGCAAGACGCCTGCCTCGACGAGAATGCCAGGTCGCGCCTGGCTTTGCAACCTCCGTCTCATCGATCGCCAACTTCCAAGTAACTTCCCGGCCAGAAGCGACAACCGTCCCTTCCCAGAAGAGTAAGCCCTTGTTCGTACCGATGGTATCGCGTTCCCAGTGGGTCCGACCAGAGGACGCATAATGCGCCGCCCCCTGAAATACACACGCCTCCATGTTACCTCCGCACACAAGGGTCTCATGAGGAGCCACCCCTTGGAATGCGCTCATATCTGCGATGTTCATGCCAAGGGTCCCAGGAGGAGCCACCCCTTGGAATAAGTAGTTGCCATCTGTATCCACGACGGGTTCCCCCTCGTCGCTCATGCCAGAGGTCCCAGGAGGGGCCGCCCCCTGGTATTCAGAAGGGCCAGGGGTCTCAGAAGGAGCCACCCCCTGGAATGCACTCGCCTCTGCGATGCACATGCCAGGGGTCTCAGAGGGAGCCGCCCCCTGGAATAGCCTCCTACCAGTAGAGAAAGCCGCCGTGCCCGTGGTAGATCTGCCCGACGACCCCTCTTCGTTGCCCCCCCCCCCCCCCTGGCGCTGCGACCGTGCCCAGGATGGGCGGGGGCCGGGGGTCGGCCGAGGGTGGGCTTAGATCAAACCTGAGGCTTGGGTGGCCGCTTGGCCGCGAGGGTCTCCTCCATGATGATCTTGAGCTCCTTCTGCTTGTCCGTGGCCACCTGGCCGACAGTGGCCCATGCTGACGCCGCGCCCTTCGAAGACCCTGGCGTAGCCGATGCTCCTGAATCCGTCGGCGTCGGTGTCGGTGTCGAACCTCCCGCAGGGCTCCCTCTCACATCTGGTCGATGATCTTCGGCAGGCGCAGGACTGCTCTTCCGCTTCTTCGTTGCTTTCTGAGACCCGAGCTCCTCCACCTTCTTCTGCTGCTGTTCGGCCAGCGACGCCACCATCTTGCTGAACTGGGCCGATAGCGCAGTCTTGAACTCGGTCTCGAAGGAAGACTTGCGCCGCTCGAACTCGACACGATCCGCCTCCTCCAATTCCACGTCTTCGAAGAGGCCCCCGAAGCTGAGGTTGAGTTCCGCTCGGTTCTCGAGGAATTCTCGAACATCCATCTGTCCAACAACTGGTCGACTGACTGGTTCAGGTGCCAGCTCCTTGGCGACGGCCTCCTGAGCGACAGACGCGTCAGCCAGGTTCGCCGCCTGCTCCTTGCACTGCCCCGTGGCGGTGGCCAGCTCTCGCTCGAGTCTGATAACTCTTGCCGCCACCTTTTCCAGCGCGCCTTCAGCTCGTTCCACTTTCTGAGAAGCCTCCGAAAGCCGAATAGAAGGCGGCTTCGGAGGAGCTGCTGGTGCTTGTGCCAGAGTAGACTGCAACAACTTCGCCTGCCTCGCCGCGGCGCCTCCCTTCGCAATGATGAGGCCCAGCAAGGCAGAGATGTCCAACTGATTGGTCTGGCCTCCAGCAGCTTGAGGCGACCCTGCTCCCCGACCTTTGAGGAAGTTGCCGCAGAATCTGCACGTATAGTCACACTTCTCGAGCTGGTCGTTATATGTGAACTTGCTGCACACCTTGCACCAAGTGACATCACGGCCAAACTTGGGCTTGGTGACGTTCTGGCTCGAGGAACGATTGGCAGCTGACGACCACGGCTGCGTGTCCAGGTTGGAATATGATCTCGAGGTACTTCCCAAAGCGGGCCAGTCATCTCCCAAGACCAATCTTGCTCCTGGAGGGCTTCGGGTACGCCATGGAGCCCACTTCTGCCATGATGCCTTATACTGCTGCCTGCCATCCTTTGCCGTGGCTGCGCCGGCCGCGGAAAGAGTGCGATATGTAGGAAACCTGTGGTGATCAGGTTCCAGAAAGACGCAAAGAGGAACGCTGAAAGCGATGGGAGCCTACCCCGCTGAGGCAGTGGATGAATCGCTATTTGGCCTTGAGCCAAAATGGCTACGGAGGAGGAGGAGGAGGAGGATGAGGAGGAGGAGGAAGCCCTCCACCCCCCCCCTTCTCGCGAAGACGCCACGATCTCCTGCATCTCCAGGCTCCGCCTCCTCCGCCCGCGCCCGCACGGCCCACGTGTCACCCAGGGGCAGGCAGGATGCCGCTCGTAGCCCCTCTCTGCTCCGGGGGGCCGCCGCCGAGCCCCGCCCGGGACACGACCCACGGCGATCCGTCGACGGCCCCTGGGCGGGGGAGCAGGCCCGAGCGGCCGACGGAGGGGGAGGGTGGCCCCAGGGCCCCTCCCCAGCCCTTAAAAAGGGCTCCCACAAGCCCGACCCCCTCTGACACCACGGGGGACCCCCCCCCCACCGCGGTGGCCGCAGGGGGCCCCAGGGGAAGGGACGCGGGGTCTGGAGGGGGAGGGTCCCCCCTGAGCACGGGAGGCTTGAGCCACCCTTTACCCTGAGCCGAGCGCGTGGCCAAGGTATGGGGCGCGGCCTCGAAGCCCTGCCCGTCCTCGATGAGGCCCTTCACGGCTGGGGCACCCCGCCACCATGGACACCCACCCCCGCCCGCGGGGGAAGGATGGGGGTCCACGGGCGGGAAAGGGGGCCCCCACCGTGGAGGCCCTCACAGAAAGGTGGGGGTTCAAGACGATCCTGGAGGCACGCCCTGATGCCGCTCGGAGCCCCTCTCTGCTCGGGTGCCGCCGCCGAGCCCCGCCCGGGACACGACCCAAGGCGATCGCGCAGATCACTATTTGAATATGTTTTCGGAGAGCTCGGCCTTGAAGTATTTGCGGCACCTACGGCTTTACATGGATTTCGGCTTAGGCGCGCGACGACGCGCGCGTGTTCATGCCGTCCCATTCTTTTGTATGGGACTTTGAATATTGATGATTTGTGATGCACGAGCGTGCGTGCAGACTCTTATTTTGCACAGGGTGG